CACTGCCCCTCACACTTGGCAAGTTAAGAGACATAGAACAATTGGATAGCCATGAACTATATGTGGCTATCTGAATTTAAATTAATTAAACATTAATTACATTATAGGGAATTCCTTGGCAGTCCAGTGGTTAGGACTCTGTGCTGTCACTGCCATGGCCTCAGTTCAATCCCTGGTTGGGGAACTAAGATCCCACAAGCCACATGGCACAGCCACCAACCCCCCCCCCCCAAAAAAAAAACTTGAGAAAAAGTTAATTACACTATTGTTAAAAATTCAGCTCCTCGGTCACTGTCACATTTCAAGTGCTATTGTGGCTAATGGCTTCTGTAGTGGACAATGCAACTATAGAATATTTGTATCATCACAGAATGTTCTATTGGAAAACACTAGGTTAGATTTTCCTCTTACAAAGTAAGCCCTGACAAGGAACATTATGAGCTTCAGAGAGATCCAGAGTAGACTTGACCTATTCAGTGACTCTCTCAAGAAATATTTGGCATCTACTGTATCCCAGGTCCTGTATACACAATAGTGGGCAGTTGTGGCAGTTGGTCCTTTCCTGGGAGCGAAAAGGCACTTGCTTGCGATGTATTAGGTGCCCAAGCCCGGGTGGGGCAGCCAGGAAGGCTTCCTGGAGAAGGGGACAGTTAAGCACACTCTGCAGTCTGAAGAGGCACCAGTGAGGCTGAGCTGCTCTCCAGATCATGTTCTTTTAGGCCCTCTGGATCTTTTGTCACAGACTGTCCCCACTGCCTGGACTGCTCCCTCCTCTTTTTCCTCAGGGAAGGAAGGAGTGAGACTAGTTCCCTCAACTGGGACCAAGTAGAGTCTCTCTTAAGCCACTAACTGCTGAGCTCTTTTCTGTGGCCTCTACTCTCCTCCCACAGGCCAAGTGGCTTCAGAGCTAGGTAAATTCAGGACTTGGTGAAAAACAACAACAACAACAACAAAACCAGGCACTAGGGTGGAGGACTCCTCCTGAGAAGTCAAACCTGCATATCTGGTGAGGGATGCAGGAGTCTGTATGTGTTGCCGAACTCAGGTTCAGCTGCTCACCACTCAGGAGCCAATAATTTGAGAGGCAAGTGTCAGTGAAAGGAAAGGTGCTTTAATCAGAGAAGCCGGCAATCTGGAAAGAAGGTGGACTTGTGTACTGACACCAGCTGTGAAGATTCTGCTCAGCCATACCAGTTTTTAAAGGGAAAAATTGGTGGGAAGAATCTCAGTGAATCATCTAGACAGGAGGTTGGGTTCTCCATCATTCTCCATTGTGTACAGACTGGTGACTTTGTCTTCAGATGCTATCTTGCCTGCATGATCTGCCTGCAGGATTCCTAAGTGGGTTATCAGGGGTATACAGTGACTCATTTTGTTTTTTCATTTATTTGGCTGCAATGGGTCTTAGTTGCAGCATGTATGATGTAGTTCCCTGACCAGGGATGGAACCCTCACCCCCTGCATTGCCAGCGAGGAATCTTAAACACTGGACAACCATGGAGGTCCCCACAGAACTACTCATTTTTTAACTTCTTAATTTTTCATTCTTACTTCTTTTCATTTAGGAAAAGAATCAACAGTTTAGACAAGGCTTGGGCTTCCCAGGTAGTGTGCTAGTGGTAAAGAACCCACCTGCCAATGCAGTAGACTTAAGAGACACAGGTTCGGTGCCTGGAGGAAGAAATGGAAACTCACTCCAATATTCTTGCCTGGGAAATCCCATGGACAGAGAAGCCTGGTAGGACACGACTGAAGTGACTTGGCAAGTATGGAGTGTGTTCAGGAGAGCTAAGTCAGGAGTAAGTTTCAATTGCTTAGTGATCTCATTCTTATAATTGGGTTCTGTTAAAGTTAGAGAGGAACAGAAGTGGGCCAACAGGAAAGGGGTGAAAGAGCTTTCAATTTCCCACTGTCAAACATCATTTCATATCTTAGGGACTAGGGGGCAAAGATCCATCTTCTGTAACTTCTTTATGCTGACAATGGGCACAGTATTTATTCTCAGAGTGGAAAATGTTAACATGGGTCTGTAGCCTGTCTTTGTTGACAATTTTAGTTGCCTGCTGACATATATGGGCAGAGTAAACTTCAGTCAGTTTGATGCCCACAAAGATATAGGTTATTTTGAGAGATGTATGTTAATCCCATTCTCGTGAGGCCAGTTCTTAGACCTGTGCTAGCCATGGATTCAGTACTGCTCAAGACAGAGCACCTTATGTCATGGCTACAGTCTGTTCATTATGCAGTTAGGGTTTTTTTCTCTCTGTTGGCAGTTATAATATCTGTAAAACAACTCAGGAATGTGCATCACACACTGAGTCTGTGACTCTATTGTCCTCATCAGTAACTGCTTGGTTTGGTCCAGGGAGAGGGGTGAGGGAAGGGTGGGGCCACTGCAGGGTTCTAATAGATTCCATTAGTATCCTGAGGCCCACTCTAAAGTGGGTCCCCACCCTCTCCTACCCTGAGTTCCTGCCTGAGTCAGCCTGGGTAAAGTGTAGGGAGCGGCCACTCCCATCCACAGTCTGGAGGGAGCCAGGGCTAGCTAAAAGAGCAGAGGGAGGCTCACTTGGAGTCCTATTGTAACAGGAGGGAAAGGGGCAGGGCACAGCTTTTGAAAGAGTGACATAGCCCAAGGACATAACATAAACCGATTAGAATCAAATGGGACCAAGATGGCAGACAAGACTAGACCTTAATCCTCAATCAGCAAGTGAAATAACACACCCAGAGGTGCCATGACAGTTCCAAGGCACTGTCAAGACTAAGGAGTGGGTGGTGGCCCAAATCCTAGAAATCTCTGCCCCCCAAAATAGTTGGAATAATCCTCCCACTCATTAACATATGAAATGATGGCCACTTATAAAAACTAACCGCACCCCATTTGCTGCTGCACCCCACCCTCCTTTGCCATGGCCTACACTCTGTGGAGTGTACCTCTCTCTGTAGCTGAATAAATTCATTTCTCACCTATCACTTTGTCTCTCACTGAATTCTTTCTGCCATGTGACATGAAGAACCGGAGCTTCATAGGTCCTAAAACCAGGTACTGTGGGTTTTGGCTGGGTTAGAGTCCCAGCCATATGGGTTCAAGTCCCAAGCAGGGTTTTGTCTGGGTTCAAGTCCCAAGCAAGGTTTTGACTGGGTTTGGGTCCCAGCCACGTGAGTTCAAGTCCCAATCTGTGATAAAAGGTTTCACTATTATCCCCCTGCTCTACTAGAGCCCAGCTGCTAGTCCCCTCCCCACATGGATGCGCAGCAGCACCCACCCCTACCTCAGCCTGCACCCTCTGCTCATCCTGCTCCTCCTCCTGGTGCCCTGGGCAGAAATTACATCCGTGCCTAGTGAACACTGAAAGTGGCAGTTCACTGACCCGGATTCACACGCGTGTTTTTGAGGGGAAAGAAGGGTCAGAGTGCAGCCCATTAGGCCCTGCACGGTCCTCATCTTCCACATGGTTCACCTCACTCAAACCTCCCAATCATGGGGCAACTGGTAGGGAGGATTATCTTCACCTCCGTTACAGGAATTAAGGGTGGGAGGGGAAATTTGCCAGAGCCAACCGTGGTGAAGGCAACAACACTTTCCTGGACGCCTAGCCTGGGCCCCCGTAGCGGCCACCCAGCCTCGTGTTTGCATTTCACCCGCGTGCCCTCCTTCACCACCTCCCCCTGGCTCCCGCCCCAGAGCCCCAGCCTTGGGCGGGGGGGAGGGGGGGGGACGGGAGAGCGGGGATCAGGGGGTCCCCGCCCCGCCCTGGTGCGCAGGGTCAGTGGGAGCAGAGCTCGGGCTACGGCTAGGAGCAGGGGTCCGAGCCTTCCGTGCCAGCCCGAGCGCCGCTGGAGACCGCTGAGCCGCCTTTTGTTTCGCGGCTTCTGCGGAGTCACGGTCACATGCGCTTCCGGCACGGGGTGTTCCGGGCGCAGCGCCAGGGCCCGGGGACTTGCCCGCCCCTCGGCCCAGCCCGCGCGGGGCCGCCCTTCTTCGCTCTTGGGCCGCCGGCTTATCTCAGAGCCTGCATCCCTGGAGCCTCCCTCCCGGGGGCGTGCCTGTGGGCAGCTCAGCTCCGATGGCCTCTTGTCTTTGAACAACGCGTGGATCCTTACATGGCGGCCTGGCGCGGTCCACACCCAGATGTTTCCTGGGGTCCGCCCGTCTGCCCCACCCCAGACAACACCCGGCGCGCAAAATCGGGCGCATCCCTCCCCGATGGAACGCTAGGCAGTAAATGGGTGGTGGACAAGTACTGAGCTCTGTTCTCGTCATTTCATGGGGGTGGCCGAGCAGCACCGAGCCTTTCTTTTGCCCCAACCCTGACTCCCGCAAACAAAAAGAAACAAAACTCAGCCCACCCAGGGCGGCCGCCACAGACCATCCAAGGGCCAAAACCCCAGCCAGGGGGCAGAAAAGGGGCTGGCCCTTCTGGCCGGCCACCACTGCTCTAGTGCTCCCAGGCCCAGGCTGTGCCCTGGGACACTTGAGAACCTTGGCGCCTCAGGGAGGAGGCCGTCTCTGCTTTGCTCAACAGAATTCAAGAATTCATTCAACAAATATTTATTGAAAGCAAAACTATGTGCAGTGCCATCAAGTCTCTCCCAGAGGCCAACTCCCTGTTAAACCTCTTATAAAATGCCGGTGGATTCTCCTTGTGTTAAAGCAGGACTGCCCAGACTCTCCGGTGAGGTTCAGCTTCCCCCAGAAGGGCTTCATTTAGAGCAGCTTGGGAGGCCATGCCTGGGGGCCGGGAACGGGGCCCTGCCTGTCCCCTGCTTCCCAATGGAGGGGGGAGTAGAGTAGCAGTGCCAGGCTTTGGGTGAGGATGGAGTGGGGACTTGGGGACACTTTCTGTCTCTGGGCCATCCTTCCCAGGGGCCTGGAGGGACTGGGACAAAGGATGGGGAGTCTGGAGGGGGGGTATGGAAAACTGGAAGAGGCGAGGGAGACAGCCCAAAGGGGCAAACTATGGGGCCAGAGGTGAGGCTGCACATGTGCTGTGGCGTCAGGGCTTGGTGGGGAAGAGCAGGTAGGTGAGCTGCCGGCTGCCGCTCTGTCTGTCCAGGAGCGGTAAGGGATGCTGTGTGTAGTGCTGGACCATGGCGGCCACGGAGGAGAAGAGCTGGACAGGGAGAGGAGGGCATCAGTGAGGCCCCTGAGTCCTTGCCAGGAGAAACTTCATGAGGGAGCTGGGGGGCTCTGGCAAGGGTGCTTTTCGACATTTTTCTACATATTTTCCTTCCTGTTTGCCCCATGAAGCTCCACTGTATCCTGCTGCCCCATTCCAGGCCTTCCCTGTGATGGCACCAGTGAGCATTTCCCCAAACAACTCTGGGGCCTCTGCCCGGGACCTCAGGTATGGGGACCTGAGGAGTGACTGTCTCTGGTTTGCACCCTAGCAGATGCTGGGTGCAAAGTTGAGTTCTTGGTGCAGACAAGAATCTGGACTACCTGATCCCTGCCCTCTTCCCAGCTGGGTTCATACAGGTACAAATGCCCTGACCTGAGAGCCCTGGGCAGGCTGGGCCTTGCAGGAGGGGGCATCTCCTCCAGAGTAGAGTGGGCCTCTTCTCAAAGTGCAGGCTTTTGGGAAAGAGTTCAGACTTATGGCCAAGGATATTGATCACCCTTGGAGAGGATGAGATGGTTGGATGGCATCACCAACTCGATGGACATGAGTCTGAGCAAGCTCAGGGAGTTGGTGATAGACAGGAAAGCCAGGCATGCTGCAGTCCATAGGGTTGCAAAGAGTCAGACACAACTGAGCGACTGAACTGAACTGATTGATCACCCACTCCAGACAAAATGTGGGGTTTTCCCCAGGGAAATGCTCCCGGCTGGGCCCAGGGGCTGCTCTGCTGAGCTTCACCACTTCAGCACCCACCTCTTCATGGTTCCTGCCCTCCCGGCCCAGGGCATAGTGGCGCCCGTCAGCCAGCCGCCTGATGGGAATGTTGAAGACTCGGCCATGGAGAAGTACTGCCAGGGTGAAGGGCTGGGTGCCACGAGGGCCTGAGCTGGGGCGCACGGTGTAGGCTCCATCCTGGGGAGGAGCGCCCACCCATCAGCCTCACCTTTCCAGCTGCAGCCCCGACTCCAATCCCTGCCCAGCTGCTCCCACCTGCCAGCCACAGCCCCTGAGCAGAAGGGGTTTCTGAGAAGGCCCCGGGGGTCTGCAGTGGGTGGCCCACCTTCTGGCATCGGAGCAGGGCGCTCTCAGCAGCATGGCGGTCACAGTTCCCTGAGTACCAAGGTTGACCCAGCAGATTGCCTTCCTGTACACACACCCAGCAGATCAGTGATATGCCAGGGCACCAGATTGGGGATGGGGAGCAGAGAACACCGGCGTGCAGTTATTTGTGTTCCTGTCGGTCTTCCCCAGGCTGAGTCCACGAAAGCTCAACAAAATATGTCCTGTCTAGAGCCGCGCACACACATCCAGCCCAAGAGGGCTGCTGGGTGTGGACCTGGGCTCTGCTCCTGAGGTCCTCCCCGCTGCCCCACAGCTCACTCGCAGCCCCTCCTCACCTGGGCAGCTGAGGTGTTCTGGGCTGCGGCTATAGAAGAAAGAGAGGTTCTTCTTTCTGCCGGCAGAAGCAGATTATAGCCCTGGGGCTGGCCAGGGATTAGCCCAGGGAGGCTTTGGGCCCAGCTGCAAGGGTGGGGGAGGTCCCAGGAGGTGCGCAAAGGCTTGAAGGCCAAAGTGGGACAGCCAGTGCTTCACCCCTCCCCTCCTAGGGCTCCCGGTAGGACCCACCGGCTGGGCCACGCGTGACCTCCAAGTGAGGAGTGATGTTACGATACGGGCTGGGAGCTTCCTGATTCGGTACAGACCCTGAAAAATGCCCAGGGGGGTCCTCTCAGACCTGCTCTCAGCTGGAGTCAGAGCTGCAGGGACCCCCTCAACCAAGCAGGGTGCAGGGGGGCTGGGAGGCAGTCTGTGGCCTGCAGGGCTGTGGCTAGGGAGGGCCCCACGTGAGTGTCTGGGTCCATGCTGGCAATGCCTGTACTCACCTTCAGAGGTGGCCTTTGATGCTCCCTAGGACACAGAACGTTGAGTCAGGACTGCTCCTTTGGGTGGGAAGTTCCACTCTGAGCCTCCCTCTCCCCCTCACTCCCAGCTCACCTCCGCCCCCACCCCCCGCCCCAACTCCACCCCAACCCCAGCCTCTTACATTCTGAGCTTCTTGGGGGGTTTTGGTGGGCCTGTGGGTAGCAAATTGGGAAACAAGGGCTCAGGGCCTTTACCGCCTTCAAAAGAAGACGTTCAGTGACCCCAGAGATCTCAGGGTCAAGGCTGGGGAAGCCTGGGTTGGCCATTCCACGCCCCCCCTCACACACACATACAAACTTGGGGCACTCACCTGGGCCCCACGGATATCCTTGGTAGGAGGACTGGGGCCGTCAGGACTGGGGAACTCAGAGTCTGAGTAAAGGCTGGGGCTAAAACAGCAGGGCTGAGCATCAAGCAGGGAACTCCGGGAGGCTGGGCGGGGCTGGAGGGCAGCTGCAGAGTCTTCTCTGCTTCTCTGCAGGCTGACCTTTTGGGGAGTCTGTCCAACCAGGCAGCGCACTGTCCTGGCCACAACTGGGAAGCCCCCACAGCCCCTGCTCTAAGGGGGTCCCCTCCTTGGCAGGCACAGTGTGGGTCACTCTAAACCAGAGGCATCTGTGTGTGTGTGTGTCTGAAGGCAGATATGTGTTGCTGGGGTACTGAGAGAGGATGGGGCAGACAATGGAGCCAGAAGACTGTGCTGTGCTGCTGGCGGGCAGCCAAGGGTCTCAGGGCAGGGCGGGCCAGGGTGGAGGGAGGGCTTCACCTGGACTGCGCTCACACTCCACGTAGATGTCCTCATCGGGCTCCTTCGCAGGGCCTGGCACCTAAGATAGGGAGGGAGTATGGTACCCAGGGTTTGAGCAGTGAGTGGTAAGGAGGACAAAGCCATCACTTGGGGGAGCTATTGGTACCTCAACCCCCCCCATCCCCCATCCTAGGTGGAATCCGAATGACTAAGTGTTCCTTTGCCCGGAAGAGGGCACCCATGAGCACCTCCTTCCCATCCTGGGCTCAGGGAGCCTGAGAGTCCAGGATGAGCTCTGGGCAGACACCTCCCCAGGACACTGGCTGATGCCCTGCCAGAGCCTCTGGCCAAAGAAGGGTCCTGCTCCAGGCCTTTTCCCCTGGTTTTAGGTATGTTTCCTGGCCCTCCCACCCCACCCCACGACCACCAACAACTTCCTAGCCACAGTCCTAGAGTGAGGGGCCACTCACCGCTCGGGCCGGTTCACCCAGTTCTGGTAGGAAAAGGAGAGACCCACCAGTCAGGAGCAGCAAGGAGAAAGGAATTCAGTGAAACTTAGGCTGGAAGAGCAGAGCTTCCTTGGAACTTCTCTGAGGGGGTCCTCAGAGCCAGCTTTGAAGTCCCAGGAGAAAGCCCTCCTCACCCCTAATCGCCTTACTTCATACCCCAGGGTACCCCTCACGTGACCCAGAGACCTCAGAAGGTGCCCAAGAGGCTGAGGAGTCAGGGACTCTGAGTGAGGGCCTCAGCCTCTTCCCAAACTGCCTGCCCTAGGGGGATCAGCAGGTAAAAATGACGAACAACTGGGGGGATGCAACGACTGGGCAAAGCGTGAGGCCAGCTCCACTCTTCCCCCTAACCTCATGGAAGCCAGGATTCCCCTTCTCAGGGCAGGGAATGGGTGGGCCTTGGAACGAGACTGGCCATCTCTATTACCTCGCCTTCCAAGGGGCCAGCTCTGCTTCAGGGCCTCCAGTGGGCTCAGCGCTGCTTTGGGCTGTGGGCACAGTGTGGTGGCGTGAGAGAGAATGGGGTTCAGGGAGCAGCAGCATCAGCAGGGCAAGACTAGCAGGGTGGGATGCAGAAGGACTGTGTATATCTGTGCAGCTTAAAAAAAAAAAGCCGACTCTTCTGACCCCGTGGACTGGCCCACCAGGCTTCTCTGTCCATGGATTTCTCCAGGCAAAAATACTGGAGTGGGTTGCCATGCCCTCCTTCAGGGGATCTTCCCAACCCAGGCACTGAAGCCAGGCCTCCTGCATTGACAGGCAGATTCTTTCCCTATGGAGCTACCAGGAAAGCTCCTGCCCCAAAAAACTACAACACAAGCGTTAATGTGCAAAGGAGGCGGCTCTCCTCTTTGCCTCTGTTCTGTGGCTTTCTTTGTTGTGAACCTCTTTTTATTCCCATACAACATAGGATGAAAGTGGCAGCTCTCAAAGCCCACACCCGGGATCATGGAGGGATGACAGCTGGCAGTGACTGGCAGCTGAGCGAGGGCTTTCTTCACTCCACAGGCGGGGGTGGGGGTGGGGGGTCCTGAGGAGCCCTCAGCTTCGAGAGGTAGCAGAGCTTCAGCGCATCCACCCACCACTACTCCCCACTCCCAGCCCAGGCGAGAAGGCTGTCTTAGGTGATGCTGATGGGGAGGGTGCAAGGACCAGACCAGGCAGGTGGGAGGAGCCACTCTCAACAGGGCCCTGGCTTCTGATGCAGCTAATTTTTCAGGGGCCTCTTGAATGCAGATGTGGGGGAATCTTGCATATGGGCTGCCTCTTAGATTTACTCACTGGAAAATGGTATGCTGGGGTGGGGCGGGCAGGGAGGCTGTGTACCATCGCCGGCTGGGGCTGCGGTGGTGGCAGTGGTGATGTGGGAGGGCCCAGGGGAGCCGAGTGATCTGGAAAACACTCCAACATTGTGACTCCGTGGGCTCCTCCCACGTAGGTTCCTGTTTTTCTCTGGCCCCCTCACCCAGTCTCTATTCCTTCCTCCCTCCCTCCCTCCCTCCCCTTGCTCTCTGGCTTCCCGACTGCCCCGTCGCCGTGGCAACTGGAGGCGGCCAGCTTCCCTGCCCCCACCTGACCGAGCTGGGCGCTGTGGGGGTGGGATGCCAGCAGCGACTGGGACTCTCCTGGCATCCCTACCCTCGCTCCAAGTTGTACAGGGATCTCGGAGGGGGGTCGCCAGGCCCCAGGGACCCTGGCAGGCCTCCTGCTTTCCCGCTGTTGCCGTGGTTACACTGCCCCTCCAGGCTTGTCACCCCTTCCCACTCATCCTTCCTCTCCCCTCCTCCCTCCCTTCCTCCATCCCTCTATGCCCAGCCAAGAGGCCTCAGTGACTGCCAGCTGAGACCTCCCCTCGCTGCCCCAGGCCAAACAGAAGGGGACGAAGCAAAACCTGGGCCTTCTCCCCTTGTGGGGACCCTCCCGTTCTGCCTGATCCCTACCTCTCTGCCTCAACTTCCCAGCCCTCACCCAAGTACAAAGAGTCCTCCTCAGTGCCAGAAAGTTGGGCAGGGGCGAGGTGGCGGAGCAGAGCCTCACAGGGGGGCAGCTCATATTTATCCTCCTCCTCTGGGGCTTCCAGGAAGGGATGCTGAGCACAGGAAGGATAGAAGGGATACAGGAGCAGTGGCAGCAGCCGCTACCTCCTCCCACCCACCAGCTCCGGCTCAGCAGCTGGACTTACCCTGTGTCTCCAGGTCCCTGGGACAGACAGAGGAGATGGGCAGGGTTCATCTTTTCTCCAAGCTTGGGAGTCTGAACAGGAGACTGGTGAGACTGGCCTCATCTCCTCCCCACCCAGCCCTTCTCTAGCATAAAGACTTGCTCTCTCTCCCAGATATAATAAGCTATCTGCAGTTTTCCAGAGGCCTCAAAGGAACCATTCATGATGGGCTTTTCCAACACTGCAGTAGGACCAGTGAGGCATTTTGGAGATAAGGGGCTCTAACGGCCTGTTCCACCGATGCCTGTCCTCCACCCCATGCGTGCGTGCGTGCCAAGTCACTTCAGTTATGTCTGACTCCTTGTGACCCCCAAGGACTGTAGCCCACTAGGCTCTTCTGTCCATGGCAAGAATACTGGAGTGGGCTGCCATGCCCTCCTTTCCAGGAGATCTTCCCAATCCAGGAATGAAATCCATGCCTCTTACAACTCCAGCATTGGCAGGCAGGTTCTTTACCACTAGCGCCACCTGGGAAGCCTGCCAGTCCTCCACCCCATGCAGCTCTAATTGTGAACCAGACAGATGAAAGAGCTAGGCCCAGTAACTTAGAAGCGCTGAACTATAATGGGCAGGAGGTATCCAGAACCCCCAGGAGAGACTCTGAAGGGACCCCTGGACATCCCAGGCTACAGTCCATGGGGTCACCAAGAGTGAGACACAACTGAGTGCACACACATGCACACACTACACATCTGGGGGGGGGGGGTGATCACTTACTTGCACATCTTGGAGGTGGAAGCGGTGGCCCCGACCTGCAATTGGACTCTAGTCAGCTCTGCCCAAGGGGCCCTGAGTTTGTGTCAGCCAGACCTCACACATCCCAGGAACATTCACAGACATGGCAGGGTGAATGGCGCCCCCTGGAGTTGTGCAACAGCAGCCTGGGACGAGTGAAGTGGAAGGAAGAGTCTGGGGGCAGAGCTTTTACCCCTGGATGCACTGCTTGAGGAATTTCTGCTCCAGGGAAGCTGGCAGCAGGGGAGCCCTTGTGTTCCCTGGGCAGTGGAGGCACATGAATGATCTCGCTGGTCATGGAAGGACCAGGCAGAATCAGCACCACTCTAAGGATGGCTGTGCCCAGGAAAGGTGCAGCGAGGTAGAAACGAGAGGACGGTGGAGAAAAGAGAGGAGCCCGAGGACTCACCTGGCCTTTCTTCTGCTGAGCTTCTCCTGAAAAGGGTCAGGGAGGGGAGTAAAGGGGTGATCAGTACATCTAGGATGACTCTCAGTGTCCGGAGTCCTGGGCCCCCAGGGTGGGCAGGTCTGTATATCAGAGGCTACCCCAGAACCAAGTCTCACCATGGCTAGGGTGAAGGAGCTCTGCCTCCCCAGAGCCCAGGTTCTACCACAAATGGCCTGGGGACAGGGGCCCTATTGTTCCTATCATTTGCATCTCCCAAGCACCAGGAAGGAGGACCTGCTGTGGCCTCCAACCCCAGGCTTACTTCACCCATGTCACGCCCAGCCCTAGCTTCCCCCACCTCCCTTTCATGCCTCTCACAGCTGAATCTCTAGCCCCTCTGCCCCGCCCTCCCCTCAACGGGAGGAAGAACTTCTTCAAAGCCCTGGCCCGCAACACTGGACCAAGGTCTCCCTAGTTTCCAGATCAATGTTCCCCTCCTCCTAGAGTTTCAAACTCCACTCAGGATCAGCCAGCCCACACCCTTTCCCAGTTCACAGAAGACAGGGCATTAGATCCAATTAAAAACAGGAGATGGGCTTTCCCTGGTGACTCAGTGGTAAAGAATCTACCTGCCAGTGCAGGAGACAATGGTTCAATCCCTGATCCGGGAAGATCCCACATGCAGCAGAACAACTAAGCCACATCTATTGAGCCTGTGGGAAGCCTAGGAAGCTCATGCACCCTCAGGCCCGTGCTCTGCAACAAGCAAAGCCACTGCAATGAGAAGCCCATGCACAGCAACCAGAAAGTAGCCCCAGCTCTCCTCAACTAAAGAAAACCTGCATAGCAACGAAGACCCAGCACAGCCAAAAATATATAAATAAATAAAAATTAAAAAAAAACAAAACAGGAAACGATCCCTGCAGACACTCTTCTTAAATCCTTTGTGCCTGCTGTCTGGTGACTGGTGATTGATGATCAAGGAGATGAAAGTTACTAAAGTGCGCAGAAATACGTAGTTGTATTTAGTTCGACCGCTTTCTTTTGATTTATTTATTAATTTATTTTTGGCTTTACTGGGTCTTCTGTGCTGTGCGTGCTTTTCTCTAGTTTTGGGGATCGGGGGCTACTCATTGCAGTGCTTTCTCTTGTTGCAGAGCTCGGGCTCTAGAGCCTGGGCTAAATAGTTGTGGCAGATTGGCTGAGTTGCTCCGTGGCATGTGGGATCTTCCCGGAACAGGGATTGAACCTGTGTCCCCTACATTGGCAGGCAAATTCTCAACCACTGATGGCCAGGGAAGTCTCCGATTCCTTTCTTGATGGATGTAGTTATTCATTCAATAGGTAGTTATTGAACATCCACTATATACCAGGCACCATTCCAGGTGCTGAAGGTGCTGCAGGCAAGCTGAACAGGTAGGCATTACACACACATTTCCTCACTGGATTCTCACAATAGCCTCGTGATGTGGTTCCTAATTGTATCCCTGCTTTGCCGATGAGGAAAATGAGTGTATTAGTCAGCTCAGGCTGCCATCAGAGAGTACCCCAGGCTGGGTGATTTAAACAACAGAAGTTTATTTCCTCACTGTTTTGGAGGCTAGAAGACCAAGGTCAAGGTGGCGTCAGGGTTGATTTCTGGCTAGAGCTCTCTTGCTGGCTTGCAGACAGTCAGCTTCTTGCTGTGTCCTCACATGGCCTTTCTTCTGCGCCTGCAGGGAGAGAGAGAATTCTGGAGAGAGAGGTTTCTTTTTTTTAATGTGGAACACTTTAAAAGTCTTTATTGATATGTTACAGTATTGTTTCTGTTTTATCATTGTTCAGTCACTAAATCATGTCTGACTCTTTGCAACCTTGTAGACGGTAGCACACCAGGCTCCTCTGTTCTCCACTATGTCCCAGAGTTTGCTCAGATTCATGTCCATTGCGTCAGTGATGCTATGTAACCATCTCATCCTTACTACCCCCTTCTTTTATCTTCAATCTTTCCCAGCATCAGTATCTTTTCCAATGAGTCGGCTCTTTGCATCCGGTGGCCAAAGTATTGGAGCTTCAGTCTCAGTATCAGTCCTTCCAATGAATATTCGGGACTGAGTTCCTTTAGGATTGACCGGTTTTGATTTCCCTGCAGTCCAAGGAACTCACAAGAGTTTTCTCCAGCACCACAGTTAGAAAGCATCAATTCTTAGGCCCTCGGCCTTCTTTATGGACCAACTCTTACATCTGTACATGACTACAGGAAAAATCATAGCTTTGACTATATGGTTTCTGTTTTTTGGTGGCAAGGCATGGGGGATCTTAGCTCCCCGACCAGGGATCGAACCTGCACACCCTGCATTGGAAGGCAAAGTCCTAACCACTGGACCACCAGGGGAGTCCCTACAGAGAAATTTCTGATTTCTTCTAGTAAGGACACCAGCCCTATTGAACCAGGGCCCCATTCTTATGATCTCATTTACCCTTTTTTTTTAAATTTTCTCATTTGCCCTTAATTACCTCCCTAAGGGCCCAGTCTCCAAATACAATCACATGTGGGGTTAAACCTTTGACATATGAATTGGGAGGGAGACACAATTCAGTCCAGAGCACTGAGACTCAGAAATGAAGTGACCTTCCCAAGGTCATACAATTGGTAAGTGTTGGAGGTGGGATTCAATGGAAGCTTTGCACACGCCAGAGCCTATGCACTAGCCACTGAGGATCCTGTACCTCCTTGATCCTCCTTTCCTGTGATAGAATTAGAAACGTCAGTAGTCACATGTTTCCTTCAGATGCCCATAACATCCTAGTGCTCTGTTGTTTAGTTGTTAAGTTAGGTCTGACTCTTTTGCGACCCCATGGACTGTAGCCCGCCAGGCTCCTCTGTCCATGGGATTTCCCAGGCAAGAATACTGGAGTAGGTTGCCATTCCCTTCTCCAAGGGATCTTCTTGACCCAGGGATCGAACCCACATCTCCTACATTGGCAGGGGGATTCTTTGCCTCTGAGCCACCTGGGAAGCCCTGGTGCTCTGTTACCTGAGTGAACTTTGGAACTCTAACTTCCAAGACGGACAAAAGGCCAGGCCAGACCTTGTGTTGGGCTCTGTTTAGACAGGAAATGAGGGGACACAGGTGAGGAACTTTCTAGGGCACTGTAACTTTCCTGTGCTTTTTATTTTGGTGACGTCCTAGCTGTTGGCTCAAAGGAACAATGAAGTCCATGTGCTTGTATCTGTGGAGGCTGGGCACACTGGGGAGAGGGCCCAGGGCTGGAGCTGGCCACAGACAATAGACAGGAAGACTAGATAATTCTTGGGACCTGCAAGCAAAAGGACACTTAAAAAGCTATGAACTCAGCAATAGGAAAGGGTGAAATAAGGAACTTCCCAGGTGGTCCAGGGGCTAAGATTCCGTGCTCCCAATGCAGAGGACCCAGGTTCGATCCCTAGTCAGGGAGCTAATATCCCACATGCTGCAACTAAGACCCCACACAGTCAAAGAAAGAAAGAAAGAAAAGGGTGAAATAATGCCATTTATAGCAACAGGGATGGACCCAGAGATTATCATACTAAATGAAGTAAGTCAGATAGTAAAAGATACATATTGTGTGATATTGCTTATATATGGAACCTAAAATATAGTACAAATTGAGAATTCCCTTGTGCCCCGGAGATTAGGATTCCTGGCTTTCACTGCTGTGGCCTGGGCTCAATTCCTGGTTAGGGAACAGATCCTGTAAGCCGTGGTGTGGCCAAAAAACAACAACAAATTAATAAATAAATAAAGATTTAAAAAATAGTACAAATAAACTTTTTTACCAAACAGAAACAGACGCACCAACATAGAAAACAGACATATGGTTATCAAACGGGAAGGCGTATGTATGCTTAGTCGCTTCTGACTCTGCGACCCCATGGACTGTAGCCCACCAGGCTCCTCTGTCTATGGGATTTCCCAGCAAGAATACTGGAGTGGGTTGCCATTTCCTTCTTCAGGGGATCTTCCTGACCTAGGAATTTAATCTGCATCTCCTGCTTGACAGGCAGATTCTTCACTGCTGAGCCACCTGGAAAACCCTAAAGAAGGAGGGAGGGATAAATTGGGAGTAGGGAATTAACAGATATATACTACTACATATAAAATAGATAAACAACAAGGATTTACTGCATAGCATAGGGAGTTATATTCAATATCTTGTAACAAACTGTCATGGAAAAGGATCCAAAAAATAGAATATGTATATATATATATATATACACACACACATATTTACATGTATATATGTATACATACATATGTATGTATATGTGTATGTACACATATGTATATATACATATATATGTATAGCAGAGTGATTTGGTTATATAAATATATACATGTATACATGTGTATATATATATATATACAGTATATATATACTATATATATATATGAAACTAATGACATTGTAAATCAACTATACTTCAATAAAAAAGAAGTTGTGGAAAGTCATTGGGGTGGTTTGAGAGGTGCCCATTTGGTGTTGTAGGAAAAGCTAAAAAGAAAATCAAGAAAGAATCCAGGCTTGGAGTCTGGGATAGGGGTTTCCTCCCGACCACCCCTCCCCAGCTGACCTTTGTTCTATATTTGGACCATCAGGCAGGGGGCAACATCCCCCCCACCCCAAAGGGACCTCCTGTCAGACTCAACAGGATTCTCTAGACACTATCCTGATGCAAACCTCAAACTAAGTGGTCTTCCCAGTCCAGACAGCCCTGGCCTCAGCCACCTCCTCTCCTGTTCAGGGTTTTGCATAGGCAAATGCCAGGGCCTGGGTGAGGGAAGGAGGATGGAATCCATGCCTTCTGGGTGGGGACACTGGCTTGGCAGATCAGGGAGCAGGGGATGGACAGAGGGTGTCTCATGGCCTTGTGTCACTGCAGCCAGGCCTGTAGCACCAGCTTCCTGCTGATGGCACAGGCAGATTTGGACAGCCTCTTTCTCCATCTTTGGCACAGCACTATCTTGTGCACATAGCTATAGCTATTCCTTTGGGATGAATTCCTAGAAATGGAATTGCTGGAAACTCACATTTTAAAGGTTCCAGTGCCCCACTGTCTGGCAGCATCTGAGTGTCAATTTTATGGTCCTCCCACAGCTCCCAGTGATTCTCTGCATATTCCAGATCTCAGCTGCTGATCTCCAATGATAAGAGGCCAACATCCTCAGGCACAACATTAGCTAAACCCACCCTAAGAAAACAAACAGCTCTGGAGAGCAGTGTTACCCCCATTTGTATGATCACAAGAATCACTGGAAGGCTTATTAAAGTCTTAGGTTCCCAGACCTTCCCTGAGATCTTAAGAATCAGATGTTCTAGGAGGGAAGTGGGAATCTATATTATTTTAAATAAACATCCTAGATGATGCTTATAATCATTCAAGTTTGAGAAACACTGCTGTAAAGAAACGCTTCTCATTCTGAGAAGATGCAACTCCTAGGACATCTGTAGAATCACAGACAGCTTTTAGCTCATTGGGAACACGGGGGTCACCAGCAAAGAAGAAACGTGACACAGCCCGCCCTCCAGAGGTCCCTCCCAGTGATAGGACAGACCCCAGGAGACGTTCCATCTCGCTAGGCTACAGCTGTCCTCTGTGTCAATGGGAATGAGAACAGGGCATTCCTTGTGGTGTAGGCGCTTCTGCTGAATAAGATGAAGCACATGAAACACACATTGGGCTTCCCCGGTGGCTCAGTGGTAAAGAACCTGCCTGCAATGTAAGAGAAACGGGTTCAATCCCTGGTCAGGAAGATCCCCTAGAGAAGGGACTGGCAACCCACCCCAGTATTCTTGCTTGGCAGGCTTCTCGCAAGTCCATGGAGTCACAAAGAGTTGCACACGACAGAGTGACTGACTGAGGGAGTCACGTGAAACACACAGCACACGTGCAGTAAGTACCACCTCTTCCGGAGGAGGTCGTGCTGCGGTCCATGGTGGTGTTGCCCGTAGACAGGGAGGGTGGCCAAGGTTGGCTGGGGTCCCCAGTGTGTGTGTGAAGCATTGTGAGCAGGAGGGGGTGGGTTTCTGAGGACCTGATGGAGGACAGGTCAGCGGGCTGTGGTCAGAAGTTTCAGAGGTGGGAGGGTGTAGGCTACGGAGCAGGAGATGCTGAGAACTGTGGACACCTAAAGGCTGACAGTCTGCAATTCCCGCTGACTGTGGAGCACTTCTTGCTTTTGGGGGCTGCCTCCATGTTGTAAATTCTTGCCTCCAATCCCAGAAGCCAGATGAGGCTTTCCCTGGTCTCCTTAGCTGCTGGGGTGCCGGCATTCTGCCAGCCAGATGCCCCCACATTTGGCTTTGTAACCAAAGCTGGCACCCCAGGGCCATCTACCCTAGGGAGGGGGTGATCGATATATCCTATTTCCAGAGGCCAGAGAGGCTGAGACTCCAGTGGAACCAGGACCAGGATCAGCTTGGCCATGGCCTTTGGGACATTGTTCCTGGCTCGTTCCCTGGTCCTCCTGGTAATGTAACCAGCTACAGAATATTTTTAATAAATTATTTTCCAGTCTAAACTATCTAGGGCTGGTTTCTCTTCTTTTCAGTGAAGAACTCCAATTTACAGATGGAACATCAGTGGGATCACCACAGGAATACCAAGAAGTCCCAAACTGGGAGGGCTGCATCCAGGTATCTCATGAGAATAGGAGGCAAGGTAGAAATAAGTGTCATAGCTTTATATTTCTATCATAACTCTATATTTCTATGTATTTTTCTTGGGACTTTTATATGACAAGCATTAATCAACTTTCTAATTTTTAAAACTAATGGACTTTCCTGGTGGCTCAGAAGTAAAGAGTCCACCAGTCAATGCAGGGGATACAGGTTTGATTCCTGGTCCAAGAAGATTCCACATGCCTCAGAGCAACTAAGTCCATGTGCCACAACTACTGAGCCTGTGCTCTGGAGCCTGGGAACCACAACTACTGAAGCCTGTGTGCTTTAGAGCCTATGCTCCTCAGCAAAAAGAAGCCACTGCAAGGAGAAGCCCATGCACCGCAACTTAGAGAGTAGCCTCTGCTTGCCACAATTAGAGAAAGCCAGCGTGTAGCAACACAAACCCAGCCAAAAATAATTAAAAAAAAAATCAGTCAATACAGGTCAAAAAATAAAAAGAAGAAAAAAAAAAGAAGAAGAAAAAAAATAAATAAATAAAAATAAATAAAAAAATAAAAAGAAGGAAGCAAAGGAGGGGGGGATGACCTGAATTTCAGCTATGAAGAAGCACCGGGAGAAGGACTGCCTAGGCAAAGGGAAGGCCCCGGGAATTGGGGGTGAGGCCAAGAGGAGGTTCTGAGGGGCACTCAGGACAGCCAAGGTCCCTTAAGCCAGGGAAGTAGGGAGACAGGTGGGAAAAATCAAAAGCATAGTGATAAGACAAGGTTTCTTCTCCCTGGAGAACAGGAATCCATCAGGGCAAGTGGAAGAGGGTGGGTTAGAAAGAGGGAAAGAACTTTCTGACCATGAGTTAGGACCACGTGGGTGGCAGCGGATGGGGAGGGCGAAGTGGGGAGGGAAGCAGGACCTCTGAGGGGTAAGGGAGAATGAATGAGTCTTAAGGATTCCTAAGGATATTTTTACCTGAGCGGGTGGTCTAGTTAGAAGCCCAAGAAGCAAGTAGGAAGAGGTGTTAGGCCAAGCGAACTGTCTGCAGTTGGGTTAAAGTTGGTTGGGGGCAATCTTGAAGGAAGGTGATTGGCAGGAGGGAGAGGAGTCTTCCTGGACTGAAGAAAGGAGGGCAATGTGGGGGCTGGCTTAGCACAAGCTGGCAGAAGTCCTCCCCTACCCCCTCACCCCACTCCTGGCTGCCACCCTCTCAGGCTTGCTGACTCAGCTTCCTCTGGTGGCAGCTGTGACATGTGATGGAGGCTGACTGAGGACACACAGACCAGCCTCCTAAGAGCAGTCTCTGGCCCCTATCCCTCCCTGACACATCTTCATTTATGGCTGCAGCTTCAGAGCTTTGTGAGGAGCCCTCCCTCCATCTCGCTGAAGGTAGATAGAAAACTCCGGTGTTCAGTTGGTATTTTTCTAGAGAGCAGAGCACTAGCTTTCTATAGATTCAGCAGTAGTTAGGGTTGCTGCTGAAAGCTGAGGTTGGCTTTCTCTGGTGTCTAGGGTAAAGTCAGGTCTCTGTACCACCCACCCTGCACTTCCCTGTTCTGGATCACTAACTCACAACAGATTCGGTCATGACCCAGCTCTGCCTGGAACCCTTGCACGACCCTCCCCCACCCTCTGACCCCTTGAATGGAGACAAAGGCTTTCTGTTATCTTGTAAGATCAGCCCTACCTACCTCTCCAGCCCCATCTACCTCTCCAGCCCCAGCCTTTCCATTTTTCCCCATGGATGCACTTTTGCTCACCTTCTGTCTGTGGTTCCACCATGACTGGGCCCCAGGGGCCCAGCTGCACCTTGTTGACTTAAGGAAATTTCATTTGGAAGAAATTTAGATCTTTACTGTCCTTACGGAATGTGGCAAAGAGGGAGGGCACTCTAGGGACCTCCCTGACTGTCCAGTGATTAAGACTCTGAGCTTCCACTGCAGCGGGCATGGGTTCCATCCCTGGTCAGGGAACTAAGATCCCACGTGCTGCACAGTGCAGGGTGGGGTATGGGGAGAAGAGCGGACACTCTTAAATGCAGTTTAAAAAAGAAAGAAAGGAAGAGGGACCTCCCTGGTGGTCCAGTGGCTAAGACTCTGCATTCCCAACGCAAGGGGCCCAAGTCTGATCCCTGGTCAGGGAACTAGATCCCACATGCCACATCTAAGATGCAGCACAGCCAAATAAATAAATAAATATTTAAAGAAAGAAGAAAGGACTTTCTTATATGTATGTTCTACTTCAAGAAATGTTACCATCCCTCCCCCTAATCCACTCTTATCGTCTCTGCAACTGGCAAACTTCACAGATGTTGTAATCACCCTGTCCCTCCCCGCAGACTCCAGCCTTCTCCCTCCTCAACTCCTTAACATGCAGATCGCCAGAGCTTCTTTAGCTGTCCTTAAACTTGATGCATTAACCCACTGCCCAGATTCTACCTGTGGGAGAGCCCAGCAGGGGTCCCAGTAGCAGGAAGCCTGGATGAGGTGTGGGCAAGGAGGCTTTCCTGGTGGGTCAGATGGTAAAGAATCCACCTGCAATGCAGGAAACCTGGGTTCCATCCCTGGGTCAGGAAGATCCTCTGGAGATGGGAACGTCTAACCACTCCAGTACTCTTGCCTAGAGAATTCCATGGACAGAGGAGCCTGGCGGGCTACAATCCATGGGGTTGCAAAGAGTCGGACACGACTGAGCGCCTAAGATGCACTTTTACACACGGGGTGGCTGCCAACACGTATAATGGTACCTGGCTTGGTTCATCCCTTTCTAGTCTCAAACAGGCTCCTTACCTGGGGGCTCTGCACTTGCCTTTTTTCTACAGGAACGACTCCCGCCCCTTGCCTCCCTCTTCCTTCAGGCCACAGATTCTGTGACTCTCAGCAAGGGTCCCAGACCAGAGTAGTGTGTCCCACGCACACATTCTTGGGGCTTCCACTGTAGTTAAATCTGTACATTTCAGGGCTAGACTGTGAACTCCCACTCAACTATAAGAGCTCTACACGGGTAGCAACTGTGTCTGTCCGGTTCATTACCGAATCCCAAGTGCCTGACCCACAGCTTGGCACATACCAGGCTCTCAAAAACATTTGCTGTAGCTGCACATTCAAATGTTACTCACTCTTCACTGCCTGCTCAAAGCCCCGCCCCTCCCTGCAAACAGCCTCCATCTCTTCCCTGAAAGGCCCATGGCTTGCTCCTTTCCTGTCACGGGACACCAACCACAGGCCTAGGCTCAGCACAGTTTCCCTGTTTATGTGGGTGCAGAGTCGCTCAGTCGTGTCTGAGTCTCTGTGACTCTACAGACCACAGCCTGCCAGGCTCCTCTGTCCATGGGATTCTCCAGGCAAGAATACTGGAGTGGGTTGCCATTTCCTTCTCCATTCTCTGTGTATCTGCTTCTTTAAATGCAAATGGTTACCAACAACTGTTCTCTGGGTACCTTTGACCCTGCCATCACCCTACTGAGTCCTTACCTACTGGGTCTATTTACCTTAATAAGTGGAGGCTGGGCATCTACTTCCCCCACTTTCCCTACACTCCACCCCTCTCATTCCCCAGCCCCACCTGCACCCCCTCCTTGGCCAGATATAGAAAGGCGCTACTTAGGCTCCTATCTGGAGAGCCAGGCATCTCCTGTTGGCATTGCTTCCTTGTTCTTTCCGCACATGACTGATGAGCCAGAAGGAGTATGGAAAAGCGACCTGGCCTTCAATCTCCCCCTCAGGAGAAACCTGGAGCTGCCACTCACGGATGTGTCTCTGGTCACACATCCTTCCTTGATGGGTGTGGCGAGCCCTGAGATCACACTCCCCACCTTTACCAACGGAAAAGCTGAGACTAGAGCGGAGATGAATGCTGGGCCTTGGGCCAAAGCCATCTGATTGTGTACACAAGGCTAAAGCCCTCAATGCCCTCCACCCTGTCCCTGCCTGCCACAGGGACCTGAGCAGCTGTTCCACGGCAAAGGACGACCCCTGGTGGTGACAAGAGGCATGGCAGCCTGTCCCTCACCCCCTAGATGCTAACGGGGGAAAGGGCGTGGCCAGCAGGACGGCAGACGTGGTCTTCAACCAATTGTTGGTGCAAGGACTTTGCTTTGAAAGATCAACAGAAATTTTTGAAGTCCTACACAAATGCACGATTAAATATATACATATATATATATACACATACAAACAGTATTCAAAACCTTAAAGATAAATTCAACTATAATTTCACTGTAAGTGGAAGATATTACTAAAATAATGAATTTTTTTTTTAATATTCACTTATTTATTTGGCTGCATCAAGTCTTAGTTATGGCATGCAGGCTCTAGTTCCCCACCAGGGATTGAACCTGGGCCCCCTGCATTGAGAGTACAGAGTCTCAGCCACTGGACCCCCAGGGAAGTCCCTGTTTATGGTTTTTAAATGCTAGTTTAAACATACTTTTATTCATGTGCCAAGGATATCTCTGCCAAAATGGGAATCTTGCTCTTGCACCTGGCTGTGTAACCAGGATAGGTGAAAGTACTTTCATGTACAGAATATGTATGTTTCTGAGTTGCTCCCAACGTCCTAAGGAGGAAAAATCCCAACTTTTTTCTTTTAATTTTTATTTATTTATTTTTGGCTGCACTAGGTTTTTGTTGCTGCGTGTGGGTTTTCTCTGGTTGCTGAGAGCAGGGGCTATTCTCTACTTGCTGTGTTCAGGCTTCCCACTGCAGTGGCTTCTCTTGTTGCAAAGCATGAGCTTTATGGTGCGTGGGTTTCTGTAGCTGTGGCTCACAGGCTCAGCTGTCCCACAGCACATGGAATCTTCCTGGGCCAGGGATTGAACCCATGTCCCCTGGACAACAGCGATCGAACACGTCTCAACCACTGGACCACCAGGGAAGCCCCAAAAGGACCCAGCTTTTGGTGCACCTTATCCTTAGATATATTTTCCATAATGACTTAATAATATTGCCCTGTGATTTTGACTGTACCCTGCCGGTTGGGTCTTCAGGAGGCAGGGTTAGGCATTAAATGGCTTTGGCATATCCCTGGCAGTCACACAGGCTCTTACTGATTCAAGAGTCTGGTGCTAAGTCTTGGAATGCAGGAGAGAATGGGCTCTTATAGAGTGCCAATGACTGTCTCCAAGTTTCTATGGCACCTATCTTTCATCTCTAGGGGCAGCGGGGCTACTCAACAAAAGATTGGTTGTTTTGTTATTGAGCCCAGGTTTGGATGCTCGCTGATCAGAAGCCAATTATTAGAGAGGCAAGCTTCCCAGGTGGCGCTAGTGGTAAAGAACGCACCTTCTAAAGCAAGAGACAAGTCAGGAAGATCCTCTGGAGGAGGAAATGTCAAGCCACTCCAGTATTCTTGCCTGGAGAATCCCATGGACAGAGGAGCCTGGTGCGGGCTACAGTCCATGGGGTCGCAAAGAGTCGACTGAAGCGACTTAGCATGAACAAGCAGCACAAAGAGTCAGTAGAAAGGAAAAGTGACTGATCTGGGGAGAAGGTGGACTTGTGTCCAGAGACCAACTCCAAAGATTCTGCTTAGCCATGACAGTTTTTTAAATTTTAAATTTATTTTTAACTGAAGGATTAATCCGCTTTACAGAATTGTACTGGTTTCTGCCAAACATCCACATGACAGTTTTTAAAAGGAAAAATGTGGGGGAAGAATCTCAGTGAATTGTCTAGGCAGGCCGTTGGGTTTTCTATCGTTCTCCATTGTTTACATACTGGTTGACTGTCTTCAAATGTCATCTTGCCTACATGATCTGCCTGCAGGATTGCTAAGGGGGCTCTTGGGGGTAAACAGCTTAGTCATTTTTAAACTGCTTAATTCTTTAATCTTCTTTTATCTAGGAAAAGACTCAATAGGTTAGAGCATAAGTCAGGTGTTAGTTTCAATTGCTCAGAGAGCTCATTCCTGTAACTAGATTCTTAAAAGGTTAGAGGGTGGGCTTTCCTGGTGGCTCAGATGGTAAAGAATCAACGCAGAAGACCTGAGTTCAATCCCTGGGTCGGGAAAATTCCCTAGAGCAGGGAATGGCTATCTACTGCAGTATTCTTGCCTGGAGAATTTCATGGACAAAGGAGCCTGGCGGGCTACAATCCATGGGGTCACAAATAGTCAGACACCACTGGGCGACTAACACTCTCACCAAGTTAGAGGGTAACAGAAATGAGCAAACAGAAAAGGGGTTAGAGACTTCCCTGATGGTTCAGTGATTAAGAATCTGCCTGCCAATGCAGGGGACATGAGTTCAATCCCTGGACTGGGAAGATTCCACATGCCTCAGAGCAACAGAGCCTGTGAGCTACAACTACTAAGTCTGTGTTCTAGAGTCTTCCAGCCACAACTAGTGAGCCCAAGTGTTGCAAACTACTGAAGCCCGTGTGCCTAGAGCCTTTACTCCTCAATAAGAGAAGCCATCGCAATAGGAAACCATCACACTGCAAAGAAGAGTAGCCCCCCACTTGCCAAAACTAGAGAAAGCCTGTGCAAAGCAATAAAGACCCAGTGCAGTCACAAATAAATAAATGAAAAAAAAAGGGGGGGGCAGAAATGCTACTTTGTCTTAACAGAAATACTTGGAAAACCAAATATTTAAGAACTTCCCAGGCAGCAGTGGCATGCTTAGAGACCACCCCACATTTAATATGACCCCTACTCCAGTTACCAAAAGGAACCTGGGCGTTTTGCTTTCAATATCCTCTCTGAGTTGTTTCTAACTGTTCCAAGATTAAATGGAATATTTATAGAAAGCAGCTAGTCTTCACCTAACTACAGAAGAATAAAATCTCATTGTGACATTACAGGATTATGGTTATACCTTCTTGTGTGTGTGTGTATTTTAGTCACTCAGTCTTTTCTGATTGTGACAGGATCACGGTTATACCTTTGTGTGTATGTGTGTTAGTCGTTCAGTCTTGTTCGACTGATTGTGACCCCATGGGCTGTGTAGCCCACCAGGCTCCTCTGTCCATGGGATTCTCCAGGCAAGAATACTGGAGAGGGTTGCCATTTCCTCCTCCAGGGATCTTCCAGACCCAGGGATGGAACCCAAGACTCTTGTGTCTCCAGCATGCCAGGCGGATTCTTTCCCATTGCGTCACCTGGGAAGCCCTAATACCTGCATAAACTAGGTGTTTTCCACCTTGATGATCAGGGAACAGCAGTATATGGCCAGATCAGAAAGTGTAAAAGTTGAAAATGGGGTTGAAGACAGAAAGTCCAATGTGTTGCTGGCCACTGCGGTGTCAGTGTTCTCGATACAGGTGTAACCTGAACCCTCACTTGGGAGCCAGAAATCAGCCGAGAAGAGGCTTCGGGAGAGAGACTGCCCTGGCCCCGGAAGGTGGATGAAGGGGGGCCTCATCCCACAGACAGGCTGGACCCTTGAGTTCCTGACTGGCACCGACAGGGCCTGGGTAAGTCCTTGCTATAGTGTCTCAGCGGATCTTTATGTAAGGAGGGGAGTGCTGGCGCTAGACGCTAGAGTGTGAGCTGAGCACTTTGAGACCGAGCATACCGAAGGAAAGTGCCCTGGTTATTACTTCCTGGTAGCCCCTCGGCCTTATCTGGCTCTGCCATATACAGCTGATGCCGGGGTGCAGGGAGCTGAGAGCGGTTAGACACCGTGGACCGAATATCCGGACCTACATCCCAGAACTCGGAGAACGCTGGCCTTCCCTGAGCTGCTCCATGAGATGTGCAGGCCACACTGAGACCCCCAACAGGCTTAGTTCTGCCTCAGGGTCCGGGCTACTCCTCCCTCCGGGAAACGGGAGTTCGCTCCAGGCGGTGGAGAGAGGGTTAAGGAGGCAGACTCTGCGACCCAAGGCTACTGGCCCAAGCGCCCACCCGCCATCCGCTTCCCCGGCAGCCCGGTCGGGAGGGCGGGGCTCAGGATCTCTGAGAGCATCTCGGGTCGGCGACCCCACGGTGAAGCAGCGTGTGCAGGGACCGGGAGCCGAGCCTCGGGCAGAGAAGGGACCTCTTCCACACAAGGCACGGAGTGCCCCGACCTGGAGCCGGGGGATCCCACCGCGCCTGACACTCGCCTGACACGCGCTTCCGGTCGGGAGCACCGCCTTCCTGAGGCCCCGCCCCCACGTCTACTGCCTGCTGGGATTTGTAGTTCGTAGAGGCAGGACCAACAGGCCATGCGCGCCTATGTGGGTCTGTGTGTTTGTGTGTGTGTGTGTCTATCAGAGTGTCTCGAGGTCCGCTGTGGCGTCCCCATCCTTTTAACCTCGCCCCCGAGGGCTCACTGCACTTAGGCAAGGCGCAAAGACCGCAGGCCGGTGCTCCCGAGGTCTGGTCCCACCCCCCTACTCCTGCTGGGATTTGCAGTTTGGACTGGGGTCTGGCCTCGGTGGGGCCGGGAATCGGAGTCCCACCTGGGCCCGGCCTGGTGCCGTCCTTATTCCTGCTTTTTTCAGCGGACCCTGGATCTGGATAGTAGGCCTGGCGCGGGTCGCAATCTCGGCCAAGCTCCCCCTGGTCCTTCCTACCGGCCTCCACCTCCCACCCGCTGTTCACCAGCTCGACCTTTGTGCCGGCGCCTATGGGACCAGCCGCCAGATTCGCAAACCAGAGCATGAAGAGGGGCGCGGTCTGGGAGGGGTGGAAAGCCCGGAGAGAAAGCCAGAGTGAGGACTTGGCCTGGGAGCCACAGCGCAGCTCTACTGAAGCAGGCGATGATCCAGGGCCCTTTCAGACTTAGAGAGTTTGTGATCAACGGTGTCCCAAAATGATGACCAGACCCGCTCAGGACTGGCTGGGCACATTAGAGCTGATTACCCTACGGGGTTGACAGATCAAAATTTTTATTTGCCAAATTTAGCAACCCTACAGGAGCCCAGAAAATGGCAACCCAACTCCAGTATTCTTGCCTGGGAAATCCCATGGACAGAGGAGCCTGGCGGACTATGGGGTCGCAAAAGAGTTGGACAGGACTTAGCAACTAAACAACAACAGGATACCAGGGAGGGAGGAGGGCTCTTCTGAATGAAAACTAAGAAATAGGTCAACCCTGGCCCACAGGTTTGCTTTGAGGATCAAGTTGGGGGATGTGGGTTGTGCGTGGAGAGGGTGTTTTGTAAACTAAAGCATGGGGCCTGGGTGAGGTGTTCTCTGCACTCTGAAGTACTGGAGGAAAGGTGCTGGGGCTTCAGAAGCTCGCTTTAAAGGGGAAGGTACACTTAGTGTGGACTCCCTGGCAGCTCAGCAGTAAAGAATCTGCCTGCAATGGAGGAGAGCTGGGTGTGATCCCTGGGTCAGGAAGATCCCCTGGAGAAGGGAATGGCAACCCACTCCAGTATTCTTGCCTGGAGAATTCCACAGACAGAGGAGCCCGGCAGGCTACAGTCCATGGGGTCACAAACAGTCAGACACGACTGAGCAACTAACACTTTCACTTTTCACACTTAAGTGTAGTTAAGTAAGATGTCACTGTTAGGAAAAGCTGGGAGGTAGTTACCTGGAACCTCTCTATACAGTTTTTTTAAGTGGGGTATAAATGGGTGGAGGCTGGTCTTACCAGTCAAAGGTTACAAAGCCCTTTCGCTTCTCATTTGGTGACAACTTTATTGGGTGTACAATTCAGTGTTTTTTTTTTAGTATATTCTCAGAGTTATGCAGTTATCACCATAATGTAACTTTATAACATTTTCATCACCTGCAAAAGAAATCAGCAGTTGCCCCCTAAAGTTCTCATCCCCTGGGATGCTAAGCAACCACTAATCTACTTCCTGTTTCTATAGCTTTGCCCATTTTGGACATTTCATGTAAATGAAATCATGTAATATGTGATCTTTCATGACTGGCTTCTTTCACTTAGCATGATGCTTTAAAAATTCAGGTTGTAACATGTATCAATACTCTGTACTATTTTTGTAACTTCCTGTGAGTCTAGAATTATTTTGAAATAAAAATTCTTTTTTTTTTTAAAGCATGTTATCTAGAGGATGAGCAGAGGTAGCCTTTTATGTGTGAAGGACTCAGAGCTGACACTAGCATTAAATGTTAAGAGCAAGAGAGGCCTTGGGAGAGGAGTAGAGAGAGCAGGGCCAGGCAGGGAGGAGAAGGGCAGGTTTCAGTTCCGATGCACCTCCGGAGATCAGGGAGGCTGGGGGTCCTACCACCTGGCTCTATTTACTGAGGGTGTCTTAGAGCAAGTTATTTCAACACCACTTTGCCTCCATTTCCTCATCTGTAAAATGAGGATAATAAAAGGATCTAGTTTAGGACTTCCTTTGGTCCAGTGGTTAAAAATCTCCCTGCCAGTGCAGAGGACAAGAATCTGGGAAGATTCCACATGCCTCAAGGTAACTAAGCCCACAATCAAGCCACAGCTACTGAAGCCCGAATACCTAGAGCCTGTGCTCCTCAATAAGAGAAGCGACTGCAAAGAGAAGCCCACACACCGCAACTAGAGAGTAGCCCACACTTGCCACAACTAGAGAAATCCTGCTCGAAGCAATGACAACTCAGCGCAGCCAAAAAGAAAATAATTTTTAAAAAATAATCTAAAAAAAAGAGGATCTATTTTAGAGGGCAAATGGAAGGATTAAATGAGAAACCCATATGAAGGACAGCACCTGGCACTGAGTGCCAACACTCAAAAGAGTGTCAGCTATTATCAGGACCTTAGAGTGGTGCTGAGGATCCAGTGTGGTCTTACCTGGGCAAACCTGTCCTGTCTCAGGCACAGTGCTCCACCTGAGCTTCTCTTGGCCTGCTCATTTGTGCTGTATTGGACAGTCCCATTTTCCCAACCGGTCACCAAGGAAATTTGGGACATCACCATCCAGGAAGCCTCCAAGTACCCTTCAGTGCTTGAAAACAAACTTAAAAAAAAAAAATCTATTTATTTGGCTGTGTCAGTTCTCAGTTTTGGCACATGGGATCTTTATTGCATCATGTGGCATCTTTCATTTGAGGTACAGGCTTCTCTCTATTTGTGGCCTGCAGGCTCAGTAGTTGCTGCACGCAGGCTTAGGTTCCCACAACACGTGGAATCTCAGCTCCCTGAAAGTGAAATAAGTGAAGTGTTAGCGGCTCAGTCGTGTCCAACTCCTTTCAATCCCATGAACTGTAGCCTGCCAGGCTCCTCTGTCCATGGAATTCTCCAGGCAAGAATACTAAAGTGGGTAGCTATGCCCTTCTCCAGGGAATCTTCCCAACCCAGGGATGGAACCCAGGTCTCCTGAATTGCAGGCAGATTCTTTACTGTTGAACCACCAGGGAACTAGCCCATGTCCCCTGTATTGGAAGTCAGATTCTTAACCACTAGACCACCAGGGAAGTCCCAGAAACAAACTTTTAAATTGTGAGCTTTATCCAGAAAATGGGCTTCCCTGGTGACTCAGATGGTAAAGAATCTGCCTGCAATGCAGGACCCAGGTTCAAACCCTGAATCAGGAAGCTCCTCTGGAGAAGGGAATGGCAAACCACTCCAGTATTCTTGCCTGGAGAATCCCAAGGACAGAGGAACCTGGCCGGTTATGGTCCATAGGGTCACAAAGAGTTGGACACGGTAGAAGTGACTTAGCCTGCACATTCAGAAAAGATAACCATCCAGACTCCTGGGTATTCCTCAGAGCAGCAGAAATGATCTAGAAAACTTCATTGTTGATCAGATTTAAAGGCTAGTAGCATCCTGAGTCAATGTTTCTTCAAATGAACATTTTGGGAGAATGTGATATGGGATGTTTAGCTATTGTGACAGAACCCTGCCATCCTCCCAGGCTGAGGAAATACAGCAGTTCAGCCTGATCTGCTCTTCTGGACTGGAGTCAGAAGAGCCAGAAGAGGGTGGACACCAGGTGGGAGGATAGTGTCTAAGCATTCCTCAGGAGTGGAGTGGAGTCCCTTGGTGTTGCCCAGATGGAAGCAGGTAGAACCAGGCTTTGAATTGTTTCCCTTATACCCCACCAGACAGGTGGTGCTAGTGGTAAAGAACCCACCTGCCATTGCTGGAGATGTAAGAGACACAGGTTTGATCCCTGGGTCAGGAATATCCCCTAGAGAAGGGAATGGCAACGCACTCTGGTATTCTTCCCTGGAGAATCCCATGGACATAGGAGCCTGGCGGGTTACAGTCCATGGGGTTGCATAGAGTCAGATGTGATGAAAGCAACTTAGCATGCGCATATCAGACCCCATGCATCTGGTCCCATCACTTCATGGCAAATAGATGGGGAAACAATGGCAACAGTGACGGACTTTATTTTCCTGGGCTCCAAAATCACTGCAGATGGTGACTGCAGCCATGAAAATTTAAAGATGCTTGCTCCTTGGAAAAAAAGTTATGACCAACCTAGACAGCATATTAAAAAGCAGAGACATTACTCTGCCAACAAAGGTCCATCTAGTCAAAGCTATGGTTTTTCCAGTAGTCATGTATGGATGTGAGAGTTGAACTATAAAAAAAGCTGAGCACTGAAGAATTGATGCTTTTGAACTGTGGTGTTGGAAAAGACTCTTGAGAATCCCTTGGACGGCAAGGAGATCAAGCCAGTCTGTCCTAAAAGAGATAAGTCCTGAGTATTCATTGAAGGACCGATGCTGAAGCTGAAACTCCAATACTTTGGCCACCTGATGCGAAGAACTCACTCATTTGAAAAGACCCTGATGCTGGGAAAGATTGAAGGTGGGAGGAGAAGGGGATGACAGAGTATGAGATGGTTGGATGGCATCACCAACTCAATGGACATGAGTTTGAGTAGGCTCTGGGAGTTGTTGATGGACAGGGAAGCCTAGCATGCTGCAGTCCATGGGGTTGTAAAGAGGTAGACACGACTGAGCAACTGAACTGAACTGAACCAGACCCCATCAGTGGGCCTTGGAGAAAGTCCTACTGGTTGCAATTTTCCAAGCTGCTTGATAAAGTCCTCTTACTTCTGGGTCAAGGGGCCATGCCCTAATCCTGGTGCCTCTTGTCAGCTGACATCTTGCAGGGGTTGGCCTGCTGTGCATGACTCTCTTCATTCAAAAGCCAGCGTGGGAGTGTGGACTGTTGGTGGTTCACTTAAAGAAGACCTGGCCTCTAAGTATGGACCCTGGCTGGGCTGTTTCCCTCTGAATAAAAAGAAGGGTGGGGTGTTGTATCTCCTGCACCAGTTTGAAGCCACACTAGCCTGTATTAGAATCCTGGTTCTACTACTGAACTGGCAGTGTAACGCTAGACCTGTGACCCACCTTCTCTGAGCTCCCAGAGCATCTAT